CAAAGATACATCTCATTCACAGACCGTGCTCTTTGAGCTTTCTTACAGTCGATTAAGCGTCCTTCCAGCCCGGGAACACACCCTCCAAGACGACCAAGGACACCCAGCGGCACGAATCTCTGCATTCTACGGAGCGGAGCGTGATTGCCATAGAGAAGCCCGGGGAGTAAGGAGCTCGCTGCGCCACCGCGAATCCCAGGAAACCCCTTACCCCCGCTTTAAAACCCCTCATCAACTTCTTTGAGAGATGCGCACATATCGCTCCAGCCTCCCGTAACTAAATTGTTGCGCCTAGTATTCCTTATCTTGCCGTCTGTGCATTATCTGCGTAATACCTCCGTCTCCCTTCAGTACCCGTTCTAAGGAGCACGTCCTAAAAGAAACACTTCCAAGCACCGACAGATTTACTAAGCCCTTTATCAAATCGATTGTTTTTCAGCAAAGATGGCACCCCCAAAATCTATCACATTTCCTTTTAATATCTAACATTACTTTTTACCATTTTTCTTTTCTAATTCTTCACCCAGATCTCCCTCGTGCTGCCTCTCCTAAACAATACGCTCGAAATACTGCTAAGCCAAACTGTTTCTACTTCTACTAAATGCTATATACCCACCACAACACCCTCCACGTAGTTGTGAGTCGTTTGACTGAGCACTGTTTATGATTTGGGCGAAGGCAATCCCTCAAAAGAAACTAATTGTTTATGTATGCTCCTCAGCAGTATACAACTAATTCCAACCCACATTTGCATTTATTTTCCCTCTTGATGGCCTTTGTCATTATCCAAGGTTTTCAAATTACTGTTTTCATGTATGAGACAGCTGACTCCCACGTGCTGTCTAGATAAGTGTCATCTTGTTTGTCTTCTAACAATCCTTTCTTGTCAACGTTGCTTTACCCCATGTAAAAAGCAGTTAACTTTTTATCTAAAAATGACTGACTGTCCTGAAAAATTAATTGCATTTAAAAATTTTTATTGAAAAACAAAAGGGAGAGAACGCACCACCCATTAACGTGCAACGAATGCTGGCATCTAAACTATTTCTTTCCTTTACAATTGGAGAACGAGCAGACACTATACTCCGGCAGCAGAAATTAATATTCCCTCGAGTTCAACAACCAATATCACCAGCTCAACAAACATGTGCCGTCTTCAGGAACTACACATATCTACGAAAAGCTAACACGGCTATAACTATATCCACTCATTATCATTCCCTCTGCCTAACAAAAGCAAAGCAATATATTCTGAAAGTCTTTTTTCTAGATATTTATTGCTAGACCGTAGAAGTATTTCAAGCAACGCACTATTGCATATGATTGAGTCCTCTTTCAGCATTCTACAAGGGTTATCAACACTCTAAAATTATATGGTCTAACTTCATACAGAGAATGTAGTTATTCTGCTAGTTCACATTTATTTTGGGAGAGTGACTATCTTGGATCTTTTCCCCTAGGCTAAAGATTAGTGGGTCAAGACACTTGGCACGTGAAGGTTTAGGTTCCAGTAAACATAATGTTCTTGGGGGTCACAATTAGCCGGACCTGGTTGAGATGCCTCATGGCATTCTGATATCATAATAATAATCATAATCATAATAACTAATATTATAATCAACATATAATAATCACTCAACTAAATTCACTGAATACTAACTCACTAACTCACTCACTCACTACTAATCCATACTGATACTCCACCAACAATAATAATAACTATAATCACATCAAAAATAGGCCCTTTGCCTGCGTAAGGAAGTTCTCACCCCTCTGCATATGTAAGCTGCAACAGTTTTCCAGACAATTATTGATTGATGTCATTCAGGCGCATTCAATTGCGTGACTTTTAGTCTGTTCAAGTGTAGTTCCTCATTTTCTTTTTTATTTTTGAGAGCGCTCGGAGTTTTTTCCTCCCGCTGGTTTTTGGGATCCAGCGCCGACATATATGCCGGCTAACAGGGCTTGCCCCTTCAGGGGTCGTAGCGGGGATCCAAGCTGTGAGCTCCAGTCTATTCTCCTGACATGTGTGCTAGAGTAGTGCATGTTAGTGTGAAGGTACGTAAGTAAGGGCAAAGGATAGGGCCAGAAACAGGAAGGAAAGAACGCGCGCGGTCCGCGACTCGATTAATAGGATGTGACTCCGGAATCCACATGTTACTGATCGAAGAAACCATGGAGAACAACGAATCAGAGGAGCTGACCACTAGAATTCTCCTACACACGGCTGAATTGGACTAACCTAATTTCAAAATTCCGCCATTGCCCACCGGGTCTCGAACCGAAGTTCCTCCAGATCAGAGTTGTTGCAGAGTCAAAGGTAATGCGGGCGCTGTGCTAATTTCAGGTGGTTCCAGAGGAGAGCTTCTTTTAGGGGGGTGCAGGTAAAGCTCTCTCGTTCAATTTGAGGCGCCCTGATTCTGTAGAAGTATACTACTCCACTAAAAAGAAATTACATGAAAACAGTTTACTGGTCGGCGATCCGTGCAGTTCGACAGTGGGCGAGAGAATGGCGACTTGCCGAGAATGATGTACCGGAAGTCTAACCGAAGTGACACGCAGTGTACCTGATTTTTTACTGTTATATAGGATGGGCATTAAGGTATTACTTACTTCTGTACACATATCTCGGGAAAGTGTATCAATTCTAATTACGGCTAATATCCGTTGTTCAGACATCTTTGAATTTGTGGGAAGTTTAAACTTCCAAGAATACTGATCACGCTCATTTTAGCACATCACGGGCTAACACCTCTGCGGAATATTATTTTTTCTGGCCTCTACCTTGTCGAATTGGAGCTAGAAGATACTATCTGTAACTGTACTTTATCTATAAAGTACTATCAGTTAAGGTGCTTTTCTGCCTTTACGTCGCAGGGAGATATGGAAACCAAAAAAACATACTTTTCATTTTCGTAATTTTAATGATGAATTGATGCTTATTTGGTGAAAAGGTTTGGTATAAACTTTAAGAAAACTATTTTTATTTATTATTAACATTTTGTATTATAATAAAAATAACCCAATAGAAAACCAACAATTTCAAAAGCATGTTCAAAAATGCTTTCAGTAGCTATCGTTAATTGACGAAAACATAAAACGTAAAAGAAACAAGGGAGAAACACACTCTGAAAATTCAACTTCTAATGCTGAACGCACCAAGAGACGTTACAGCTCCACATTTCAGCGGAGGACCTTGAACATTTAAAGCGAAACGCGGCGCCGGGAAAACACGATTTCGCGCCCCGACCTCACGCGGCGAGTCGGGAATACGCTTGTGTAACGGACGGGACGCGGGGCAGGTACAAAAGGCTCCGCGAAAACACGGGAATAAAAGGCAGGAAAATAAAACGGAGAGGCGGAACGGAGCGCGGCGCGGCGCCGCGGGAGCCCCGCGCGTCGCGATGCCGTGACATGCCGCGTTAAGCTTAACGCGACGCGGGAAGCCTGGGCGAGCGCCACACAGTGGGAGGAAATCTTAAAACGCTGGCCACAAAAATATTCCAGTTAAATACTCTAAACTATGTGTAGTATATTATAATAAGTAATATCTATGCAAATATACTATGTGATCCGGACACACGTGGCTGAAAATGACTTACCAGTTCGTGGCACCCTCCATCGGTAATGTTGGAATTCAATAGGGATTTGCCCCACCCATAGCCTTGATGATAGTTTCAACACTCGCAGGCATTCTTTCAATCAGGTGATGGAAGGTTTCTAGGAGAATGACAGCCCATTCTTCACGGAGTGAGGCTTGGCACGACGTCGGCTTTCTGAAACATGCCAGAGGTAGGATAGGATTCAAGTCAGGACTCTGTGCTGGCCAGTCCATTACAGGGATGTTATTGTCGTGTAACCACTCCGCCACAGGCCGTGCAGTACCACCAGGTGCTCTATCGTGTTGGAAGATGCAAACGCCATCCCCGAATTGCTCTTCAACAGTGAGAAGCAAGAAGGTTTTTTAAAACATCAACGAAAGCCTGTGCCATGATAGTGTCACACAAAACAACAATGAGGGCAAGCCCCCTTCATGAAAAACACGACCACACGATAGATAG